TGCATGCAGAGATATTCTAAATACACTGAAGATTGAAGCAGTTAATTAACACAGATGAGAAAATTAAGTTTCCAGAATTTGACTACAAGAAAACTATGCTGTTGTGTGCATGATTGGTACAGATGTTTCTGAAGCTAGTAAATTTTGCGTGATTTGCGAGTAGAACAACTGTGTTTCCACTAACTGTTATGCTTGATTATTTCTCTTTGATTTATTTCTTTCTGACTTCCTCCCAATCTTTTCTTGTTAGGTGAGCTAAATAGTGACACACGTAAGCAGAAAGGCATGCACTTTGCATATACACTACAGTAAAATGAAAAGGTCAGCTCAGAATATTTTTGGAAGTAAAAAAAGAAACGCAGCAAATTCACTAATTATTCAGTACCTTTCAATTGCTCTATATTCTGCAGAACATGTTTATTTCAAAAGTTGCAGTTTTAAGTTCTCTTGGTCCAAATCAATGTACAATTTAACACAGGCATGATATAGCTGTCAGTCTGATAAGTTCAATACATCTTTCAAGATAATTGGAAGACTTTACATAATGAGGTAATAAGTACCATACTACTCTAATCCAGATGTTGAGTCATTACTTTTTCTAACACTACTAGTATCTTAATTAGGTTATTTTGTTATTGGGTTTTTTTCCTTGAAAATGGAAGGATTAGCCTGCTTGTCCTAATGATATTTCAGTTACAGGATGTTTCAAAGAAATATTAACATATCCTGGGAATTATTTTCATACCCTGGGATACATCAGCAGCATTTCCTCATTCAAAGACCAGAGATTTGCTTGCATATTCACATTTAGTAAGACTGCTTTTCGTACAGTCAATATATGATCTAAGAGAACTCCTGGTTTTGGTGTAGATGATTTGAAAAGACAATCTATAAGCATGTTTTTTTTTAATATCAAAGCTCATGTAAACTATACAAAAAAAAGTTATCAGGGATATATTAGGCCTTCTCTAGTTTGAGAACAAAAAATTGAAAATCGTACTATGTCAAACAGCTTCAATTTTCTCACTTACCTAAATTGTTATCAATTTTTTTGTGGTAGGCTTGCAGACGTTGATTCTTTGGATAGGCATCCCGCTGCACTGAAGAAATCGAATCTATGCTGCTGAAATCACTATCTGTTAAGAATACAAGATAAAGTATATAATAAAGAAACAAGAATCAAGTTTTGGAAAGCTATCAAAACTTAATTTGACTATAGTTGCCATGAAATTATATAACCAGTTAGCAAGAGCATCAAAAGCAGTCCAACATCACTACCTACTGGACACACTCAAACAATTATAAAGCTATAATCACTCTCCTGTTGTCTTTTGTAACTCTATTGTGTAGCTAAAAAAAAAGACACCAACCAAAAATAACCAATAAATCCCACTACCAACAAAGTAAGTTTACTACCTTCTATCGGCATTTAACATTTGCTCAGGTAAAGCCACTAGAGAGTCACTTCTGCCCTCTGTTGGACAGACTCCTAATGTTATGTGAAACGTAATGGCGATTGATGTTACCAGAAAGCTTTTCTTTTCTCAGAGAATTACAAATCAGGAATGCTAGGATACCAGCCTCCAGAAATTAGGTAGCAACACAAGTCAGCAGTTTGTCCTACCTTCACCACTGAGCAAGTTCCCTCCACTTTGACGACAGGCATTCAGAATAAAATAAACAAACCTGAATTATCTAGGCGCCTTAAATTCGGATGACTTTCCTGATATTTTGTGTCTTGATCTTTGCTAGACATCATTGCTTCTTTTAATCTGGTAATACAAATAATAAACCAAAAATATTCTTACAGATCAAAGGCTTCATTTTGAATCAGTTCAAGAATAGGCATTAAAATTATCCAAGAGAAGAGAACTTACTAGACCTGATTCAACATATCCCTTCACAACTAATTATAATCACATCTTCAGTGAAAACACAATTGGTTGTTCTAGTGCTGAAAATAGTATAAGCTTTGATATCAAGAACAAAACCACATCCGCAGTCTTGGAGGCAACCTATTCTTTTCCTCCAATGAAAAAATGAAAAAGGGAAGCAGGAAAATCAATCCACACAGCACTACCATGCTTTACATAAATTTCTCAGCTGAAGACAGACAAATACTGTAAGACATAGTAATTCATTTCCATTTATAGCTTTTAATTAAAAAAAAAGTTGAGAAAGATGCATAATATTTAAGTAGAAGCACACCAATGCTGCAAAATCATAGTTTCCTAACACAACTGAATTAAGCATGATGATTCAGTGACTCTGAAAAATAACCTGTGAATAAACTCCTAAAAATCTGAAGTTATTCTTACCATTACGAATGTAAGGAAAATAATAACTTTTTCAGAGTTAAAACAAAAAGGGAACCAGGCACCAACTCAGGAGTTTACAGAATCAATACATTATTTTTAAATTTTTTTTTTTTGTGACATTTCAGAGAAGCTGGCAGGTGGGGGGAGGGGGGCAAGAGAGGAAGGGGAAAGACCTTTGAGGAGTTTAGGAGAAAGACGCATGAATGAAAATAGTGACGCTGTGAGGAAACAGAGGAAACTCTCTTTGTAAGAGTCAGGTAATTGGAGAGGGATCAAAGAGCACAGAGAAGACAGCTAAGGCCCTGGTAACAGAATGAGAAATATATATGACAACACTATTCCCACTTCAACACTTACTTTAGAAGAATTGCTCTAGATCCAGATTCTTTCAGAAGAATTCTGATGACAGGCAACTCCCCTGCTTGAACCCAAGAAAACAGTACCACGCCCCAATACAATTTTCATTTGACTTACCTATTGTTGCCATAATATTCAGGTATTCCATTTTGTTCTGGTTTGCTCTCGGGTGGTTTGGCTTTGAAGTAGTTAACCAGGCCTCCAAAAACACTCTTAATGCTATTTATGTGCCTTTGACTAGTCTTCAGGTCCTGGTCCATTTTATCAACCATTTGTTCTGTACGCTTCAGTGCTTCTCCTTGACGTATGAGCTCCTAATGGACATTGACAGATAAAATGAAGCTAGTTAAGCCAAGGTAAACTGGAAAACCAACCATTTTTAATAAATGTGCTTTAAAAACAAAACAAAACAACTCTTTCAACTGTGCAGACTACTCCTAAAGGCTTGCAAGCCTTTTCACTTACTCCTGCTGTTCTGGGGGCATTTCAGTGAAGAGCTGGCAACCAGGTACGGCATTGGCCAGCTACAAAAACTTCATTTGTGCACAACTAGCTTCCCGGTACATACTACAAAAGAGATTCAGGCACTTTCCATGCTGGTCTTCTGTCAGACTGCATTGCTTATTGATTGAACAACTATTGCACCTAATGGGCAACGTAGTGAAAATGCAAAGGTTTACAACAGGCAAATGAAAACTACGTCTAGTTCTGAAACTAGAAATTAACAAGGGATTCTGCTTCACATTGCTGGGTTGTTCTAGATGATTTATAAACAAACTAGCTAAAGAAAGCAAATACAGCTAGAATATTTTTTTTTACTGCAGTTTTAAGGCAATGCTAACAGTTACAGATCCTGATACACACAGCTGTATTATTTCAATGGCACTATGCTAAAGCAATCCAAAGATTCATTAGATTCATTCTGACAGAAGACCTGCCCTCAGCTAATGCTGGTGTAAAACCAAGGACAAAGCTAAGCCTCAATACTCAGTCTCTCATTTCAGCCTTTCATGACACAGACACCACAAGGTAGAGCTCGGTCACTTTGATGGTCATGCTGCTGCACTCAGGCAAACACCCAATTACTGGATGACATCATGGCAAGGCCCTCATTAGTGACATGTGAATATAAACTGCACTCCAAAACAAGCACGTGAGAATGAAGGAAATGATTAATAAAGGTGGAACCAAGAGTATAATCAACTAAGCATGCAGATTTCTCATTTTATTAGAGTTGCTGAAAACTAAATATATGCACTGTTAATAAAACCCAGTAAGAAACTGACACAGCTGAGCTCTGCTCTATGTATAAAGAGACTCCAACTGGGATGCCATGCTTTAAAAACCAGCCCTCTCCAGCAGCAAACCGTGATAAGGAGGGACGTACTGCCCCTGAGACGCTGATCGATTCCGAGAACTAACGACAGCATCCAGAGGACGGGAAAACATCAGAATCAAAACCCACACCGGAGAGGGGCAACGGCCTCGCGCCGTGTTGCTACCGCAGGGGCCCGGACCCACCTCGGAGGCAGCCACACCAATGCGCTCGGACTCGTAGAGAAGCGAGAGGGAGCGCGCGGTGCTGTCGGCGGTAGCGGCGGAGAGGTGCAGCGCCTCCTGCTGCAGGTAGCGCTGCCGCTCCGCACCGCATACTTCTCCACCGCCCCGCGTCTCCTCTTCGTCCTCATCGAAGGGGTTGTAGCTCCTCGAGACGGCCGACATGGCGAACTTCCCCAGCTCAAGAAGCCTCAGACGACGCCGCTGACCGAGCCCCACCCCCTTCCGCCTGCAGGCACCGGGCGGAACTACCGCTTCCCCGGGGTGGGCCAACAGCTCCGCTGAGAGAGGGCGGTTCGTCGGTGGATGGGCGGGGCGGGGCGGGGCGGGGCGGGGCGGGGAGCTCCGAGCGGTGAAGCGAAGCAGGCCGCCGCCATCTTCTCTGCGCGATTGGTGATCTACAATGTCGCGAGATAGGCGCTCTCGCGAGAGGGGCCTAGCTGCTCTCTGACTTGTCTCACACAATGGCGGCTGCGACGGTTGCGGCGGCGGCAGCGGCGGCGGCTACTGCAGCGGCGGCAGCCGCCGCGACCGCCGCCGCGCCCTCTGCCGCCGCCGCAGCTCCTTCGGCGGGCGTGGGCCGAGGGAGCGGCGTGGGCACCGCGCGGGGTTTCTACTTCAATACGGTGCTGTCTCTGGCGCGGTCGCTGGCCGTGCAGAGCCCGGCGCCGCTGGAGAAGGTGGGGGCGCCGTGTGGGGGTGTGACTCGCGGAGGGCTGTTACACGGGTGGGAACTGTGTGCGAGGCGCGTCACGCGAATGAGACCCTTGGGTGCTCTGAGGGAAAGTTCGAGGCTCCGCCTGTGAGGAGGTTATGTGGGGTCTTGTCGCACTGTGCGTGTCTGAGCGGTTCTCCGGGGGCGGCGTGCTCACACGTGAGAGGGTGCTCTCGTGGGCCCGCGGCGAAAGCGTTGTGCTCTGAGGAAGCCCCGGGCTGGGGCTTGTGGGTCGTAATTGGTCCTGGCCTTGTTGGAGCTGGTCGCAATTGCGGTATTTGGTGAAGTGAGAGTGATGTTATCTGCTCAGGGTGGGGAAAAAAAATAGCTGAGGTAAACATCTGCCGAAGGTATTACTCGGTAGAAGGATCTCAGTCTTGGGAGGCTTCCTGCTGTGATCTCTGCTCCGCTTGGAGCTGTGGCTGTCAGGAGGCAGCATCACAGCTTGGTGCCTGTGTGCTGGGTGGCACAGCTCTGTGCCAAGAACTGCAGTTTGGGGGTATTCTCACTCAGGTGCTACAGTGCATCTGTTTAGTTCTTCTTCTGAAGTCCTGTTGTTGGTTGTACACCTAGCTGCAAATCATAAAATCATAGGATTGTTACAGTTAGAAAAGATCTCTAAAACAGTCTAGTCCAATTGTCAACCCAGCCCCACCATGCCCACTGAGCCTTGCGCCCCAGTGTCGCATCTCCACATTTCCTGAATACCTTCAGAGACAGTGGGTCCACCACCTCCCTGGGCAGTTTCTTAATGTCCTGCTGTTGGCTCCCTGTTACCGACTGTTAATTAATTTATTTTTTTCCAGTGTGAGAAACTATAGTAGGCGTTAAATGATATCAGTAGATGAGCTTTTTAATTGTGATGGTTTGAAAAATTTCAGAAATTTGAAATACAAAAAGAAGCTTGTGCAAGTGTTGAAGGAAACTGAAATCAACACGTGTCAAATAGTTGTTGATTTTCTCAGTATCTGCTATTCGTTTATTTTTCTTGGCCCTTAGATATTTTCATTCACACACTGATGCTTAAAGGAGGGCCGTGTGGCCAGGAACTGGAAAGAGCACTGTCCCCTTCAATTACAGGAGCTCTGGATGAGTCCTGAAATCCACAGCCCCCGAGATTGATTCTTGTATGGGAACTGCTGAGTCACGGCCTGAACCTCTGAGCATCTGAGGCGAGCCATGAGTCAGCCAGAGGAGCACAGGTGAAGGCAATTCACCTGTGCTGCCGGAAGGGGTGGAGCCAGGCTGCACCTCTCCTAGACCTATTTAAGAGCTGGCTACCAGTGGGGAAGGATCTCTTCTGGAGATCCCTCCTTCTGGTGCTTTCTGTAGGTGAGCCTAGTATACAGGTAAGCCTTCCATTTATTCTGCTTATTATCTTAGTCTATTTTGCCTAACTGTCTTGTTCTTTTGTGGTTATAACATCTTGATATCCATTGATTATACAATTCCCTACTGTGAAAATAATCGCATGAATATTCTGACCTTCTGCTTGGGGTGCTGTGGGTTGTGGATGTGATAAGTAGAGGTGGTCCTTACAAAAAGACGGCTGGGATTTTCCCTAGGTCTATTGAGTTGTTTTTTTGCTTTTGTTTTTCATTTGTTGGGGTTTTTTTTGGTTGTTTTTTTTTTTCATTGCTCTGACTTATTTTTGGCTTTGCTCCCCCCTGTTTTTTTGCTTCACTGTTCTTCAGGTACAAAAACTGCTCTGTATGTGTCCAGTGGATTTCCATGGAATTTTTCAGCTTGATGAACGTCGCAGAGATGCTGTGATTGCTCTGGGAATCTTCCTAATTGAATCTGATCTTCAGGTATTTTTCCTGTTAGGCTTCCTCTAATGAGCTTGAAAGATATTGGATTAATTCAAATGCAGTAGTACAATTAATGAAAAATTATTATTGTTCTTTCTAAAAAAGTTGGCATGATAAAAGATTGGAGGTAACGGAGCAATCAGGAGAGAAAAAGAAGCAAAAATAGTTCTGACGCATGTGACAGCAATTGTGGTGCTACCACAGCCAGACCGTTGTTATATTTTTTGTTTGTTGCAGATTAAGGAGATACGGATAAGATTAAGTAATTTTATGCGGGCTTGCAGGTGGTGGTAGACAAGACAGAGGCACTTGTTTACAAATGTTAAAGGGCAGGTGATGAATCAACTGCATGGTGTTGAATTCGAGGTAGTAAAGGAGAGAAGTGTCTTCTGAGGGGAAGCATGAGTTGTATTGTCAGGTTTATAACAGACTTATTATGCCTCAGCATTAGCTAGGATAAAAGGATGACCAGTTTATGTAGTTGGCTTTGTGTTCAAGCCTCCATATTGTATCTGATTATGACAGGCTGGTTCTTTTCTCCTCCAATGTTGCATGCAGTATTGTTTCTTGAAAGAGAAAGTATATATTGACTTCAGGGTCCAAAGACATTAGACTTCTTCAAGCTTTTCAGTTTTGCCGTGGTTTGAATTGGGCTTATGTTTCCAACTGTCTACTGTGATTCAGCTTGTATACATAGTAGACTTTTTTTGAAGTGTGAAACTTAAGGCAATTGTATTCATTCTTCTTAGCATTTTTGTGATGTTTTCAAAGCCAGCAGTTTTAATTAATCCAGCTCTGTGAGTAAGGAAAATGTTATCCTTTGATTTGTAGATTTAACTGAGTTCTTAAATGGTTGTGCTAAGTGATTTGCATAAGGCCATGGGGTGGGTCTCGTATATAGAGGTTGTCACTTCTAAACATCTAACTGCCTTCAAATTATTTTGTGACTTTGCTGTAAATCAGTACATGAACTGGAAAAAGAAGATCCAGAAACATAATTAACCAACTTTTATTCAGAATGAACTTGTTAACTAGAATGAAATGCTTGAGTTTATAGCACTGAATAAATTTGTTTATTTTCCTTTGCCTATATTGAAATCTGTTCTGCTATATTCAAGAAGTGTGTGGAGTAATTGATAGGAGTTCTGTGTGTGGTTAATGTGGTTTTTTCATTCCTTTAAAGTAACTGTGGATGATATTCTTTAGCATTTTGTCTCCATTTTAAATATAATATTTTGCTTTTTAGCATAAAGATAATGTGGTTCCTTACCTCCTTCGGCTTTTAAAGGGACTTCCCAAGGTCCAATGGATAGAAGAAAGCAGTGCACGGAAAGGCAGGGGTGATGTTTATTGTTGTGTTTTTTTTTGTTTTTTTTTTTTGTTTTTTTTAATTATCATTCTCAATAAATAACAGCCAACAAGTAGAAATAAGTCTCTTCAGTGTGAGGTATAGAGGGAAGTGAGAGTTGTGATGAGGTTCTCATCTGACAGCCTTTAATATTAACTGTTCTTTAGAAATGGAAAGGAAGCTGAACACCTCCTGGCTTTCCTGCTTGACTGCTACGTGATAAATTAAATGATACATTGCATTCTCCAAACAATTCAATATATCTTAGTACTAGATCGGGGAAGATTACATAGTAATTTAGAGCAAGAGAGTGGAACCTGAGATTTTTATACTTTGCTTTTGTTAGATACTGAGTTAAATACTTAATTTCTTGCTCCTTTAATATCTCTTAGAATTAATATAAGAATAATTCTGTTTCACAAGAGATACTCAATTTGTTTTTTATGTGTATTTGAAAACCTGGAGAAGTTTTTATAAATTAAAAATATTATTTTAATACTTCATGCTGAAATTATGATGGCTAGAATATACTTTTAAATTTTGTTTGTACTATATCTGAAATATGTCTCAGAACTGCATGACATGAGAATCACTGGTGTTCTTTATGTTTGCTCTTACTATGCTCTCTCTACTCAAGGGTTTGGTATGTTACTTTGTAGGCTTGCTTCCAGTTGCAGAAAACTTCAGCTTCTGCTTGGTAACGTTGTTATCAGACGTTGCTTACAGGGATGCCTCCCTCAGAGAACAGGTAGAATTTAAGTTCGTGTTGACATTTATCCTGTTGCTTTACTTTGCTTGAGTTAGTTAAACCTCAGGTACGCAGTAGATATTCCTAAGTCTGTTTTTATTTCTGGGTTCCAAAGAATGACAGTCACTGAGTGCAGAGTTTTAGTATTTAAATTTTGATACTGAGACCAGGACTACTGCAGTTTTTTTTGTTTGTGCCAGTTAGCTGAAGGCTTTACAAAGGAAAGATCTGTAAACTGAGTGAGAGTAATATACTTCCAGTCATGTAATGTTAAAAAATGTTGCTTACAGAGATGCTTACATTTCTAAGTTCATAAGCAAGTTTTACATGCAGTGCAGTGATGTCAGATAAGATGATAATATATTTTTACCAAAATGTGTTTTTATATGTCTGTCTTGATTGGTTTAGATTTTGGATGCAGTTCTGCAAGTAATGCAGTTTCTGCTGGGAATGTGTCAGACTCCACAAATGCATGATAAAGGTACTGTTAAAATATGTCTTAATGTCATTTCTGTATCTGAACTCCTGTTCTCTGAAGATCTCTTACATTTTCTAATTATGAAGATTGCTTCTGAGATATAAGCAATTCTCTCCGAGTTCTCTTAGCACACACTCTGTTGCTGTCTGTTAAATATGGCAGCTAGATACGATTATTCCTCTGCTTCCACAAATAAATCTTTGTAAAGACACTGAGCTGAAACAGTTTAATGAACAGTTTAATGGAGCTGTAGCTTAAGGTTGCTCTTAACGCTGTTGTTTTTTTTGTTTTTTTTTTTTTCTACAGAATATTTATGCAAGTATGCAGTGCCATGCTTGATAGGAATTTCTCGAGCCTTTGGTCGCTACAGCAATTCAGAGGAGGCTCTCCTTTCAAAGCTTTTTCCAAAAATTCCCCCACATTCCCTGAGAGTTCCAGAAGAGCTTGAAGGAATTCGACGACGATCCTTTAATGATTTCAGATCCATTCTTCCAAGTTCTCTACTCATGGTTTGCCAAGAAGGAACACTGAAGAGAAAGGCTAGCAGTGTGTCTAGCATCTCACAGGTTTGTATAACTTGCTCTGTTTTGGAACTCATTCTATGAAGATGTCCATGATCTTGGTGAAATTACTATAACGTTAGCCCTGAATATGTAGTATTTTCTCTTAACGCAGAGTTTTACCACATTCAGCGATCTTTATTTTGGTTCCATGACTAAGATTCAAAATAATTAGTGTCAGTTAAACTAACAACTGTCTTAATGTTCATATGGAACAGTTGACAAATTCTGTTCTTCTTGTTGTACAGTGTTACGTTTCATGTTATTCTTATGAGGGGGGAAAAAAAGCATTATGCTTTGAGAATTTGGGGAAACTGGCACTACATACCTAGATTTATGCGGTGTGCTGAGTCTATAAGAGTTCTCGCTAGTGCTACCAGCAGCCGAGGGTATTTGTCGTTAGGGGTCAACTTACTGTGAGAACTTACTGTCTGGAAGACTTAACAGTAGTTTTTAAAGTATGCCTTTTGTGTGGCATTTCAGGTTAGTCCTGAACGTGGAATTCCCCCACCTAGTTCTCCTGGAGGATCTACAGTTCATTACTTTGAAGGTAAATTATTTGGCAAATCAGCAGTGTGATTTTTATTATTTTTCTTTCTCTACAGAAAATTGAGAACCAAAATCTTTTTGATTTTTATTCTCTGCCTTCTAGGATACTTTTGAGAAATTCCCAGGGACATGTCTGTTAGAGTTCAGAAAAGTTGCGGAGTAAAAAAACAGTCATTTTGCTGGTTTTCAGGCTTAGTTGTTTCTGGCAGACTTTTGAGAAGCGTGATTTCCTGATGCTAGGCAGTACATAGCTCTGCAAAGCTTAATTCAACTATGCAAAAAATATTTCTGGAGATTATACAGAGTAAATTTCAGAAACAAATCTTAATACTCCACTAAACAAATAAATTGTAGGCTAGTGCCTGGAATTTTGAGTCCTCTGTGTCACACTAAGTCTAAAACAGCTCCGCTTGAAGTAAACTTGATAGATGTCACTCTTTAAGACCTAGTAATTTGTTGATGATAATATAGGAAATACTGAAGCTGACTCTTAACTACTGAATTATGAAGTTTTAAGGTTTTTATGTTGTGACATGCAGGGCTTGTCTAGGACTTCTAGTAAACCAAGACTTGGACAAGTCCAGTGGCAAACTTGTTCTGAGTGTTTTGGTGTCTCTTGGTTTTGGTTTGTTTTTTGTTTTTGTTTTTTTTTTGTCTGGCCGTTTGAGGTTTTTAAGTGTGTGCATTCTATATTTCTAGGTCATTTTCCACTCTGAAACTGGCTTAAATTGATTTCTTCCATCTTAAATTTCCCCTTTCTTCATGTTACTATTTGTAGTGTCTGTCTTCCTTCATTAAATCACTGGGGTGCAGGGTAGTTCAAATAAAATTTCGAAGCAGCCAAGTAAGGAAAAAACCTGTTTAATCTCTATCCTGTTGAACCAAGCTTATTAGGTTTACTACTGGGCTGTAGGTTCTCTGTGTTTGGAATGATTTTTTTGGTGATTTTTTTTGTTGTTTTTTTGTGTGTTTTTTGTTGTTGTTTAAGGAAAAAATGCAGTGGGTTAGAGTGAGACATAAGAAAATGTGTTAAAACATGAAAACATGAAGGCAAGTCTTACTTTTTTTCGAGTAATATGGTTTGTGATAGTCTTATTTTTTCTGAGGAGGATTAATGGCCTTGTTTGTTTGTTTGTTTTCCCCCTTTAGCCAAGACTGGGACTTTAGGGGTAGGAAAAAAAAAAGACTGAAAACTTTTAAAAGTTATTATTAATAACCAGTGCTGCTTGAAAGCCTGTTACTCATAGGAGTGTTACTTTAGTACAGACAACTGAGTACTTTGAAAAGACAAAGGTGTAATTTCAAAAGTGCAAACAGCGCCAAAAGCACTATAACTTGCAATCTATTTGCTTAACAGAATACCTGAATCTTAAAAAATAATCCATTTCAAATTGCAGTAATGAATTTACTTCTTTTCTAAGATGAAAGGCTTTTCCACATGTTTATTTGGACTAATATAGGAAAAAACTTTGCAAGATAGTTTTGTCTCGGCCTATTCTTCTTACCACTATGTTCGTTACTAACGCGCCATTAACTGAAAAATTTCCAGGTAGATGGACATCAATAGCATGGTAAGACTTCTTGTGAGCCATGTCTGTGACGTGAACATGAGAAACTGAAATCAATTCTGTCTGCATGATTGTTGCTTTCTAATGGATATTGTAGTTTTGTGCCTTGATTTACCAACAGAATAGCTGAATTGAGCCTCCAGGTAGTTTGTGAGTTAGTGACTGTACACGTGTTGCAAAATAACTCTTTTTAGTGGTGATTCAGCATTGCCATTAAACAAAACTTGTATTTCCCTCCTCTCCCTAAACGTTTTTTTTTATATTTTCTGATCAGGTTCTTATCTTCCTGATGGTAGTGCACTGGATCCTGATTATTACTTCACTACCATCAGCTCCAGTTTTTCAGTTTCTCCTCTCTTTAATGGCATTAACAATAAAGAATTTAATATCCCATTGGAAATGCTCCGTCAGCTCTTGAATATGGTATGTGATGAAACACTATGCAGGCTGCAGTGATTCTAGATATCGTTATTAGAGAAATATGCAATTTCAGTTAAATATTCAATTAAAAAGACTATGCTCATCTTCCAAGCTTTATGTAACATTATTTTTATGGCATTAAACATCACAATGTTCCTAAAAAGTGCAAGGGATACTGGCTCCTGCTGCTTCACGCATCAGCTGTTTTGCTGTAGCGCACACAGGCCAAAATATATTAAATCGTGTTGTAACTGGAAATTCTTGAATTTCATCTGATGCTTTGCAGTTGTGATGGGTGTTTTCTTTGCATGTGCAAAATTGTATCCTCTTATATGTAGGAAGATATTTTTTAAATTCCTGCTCTGCAGGTAAAACAGATTGTTGAGGATTCTCTGCTGAAGACCTTAGATGCGGTTGTAGCTGAAGTTGCAGAGGTATGTTTTTAAAATCCCCTTCTAATGACTAGTGCACTTTATTTTTGTCTTAATAGTTAATACTTGAAAATTATTTTTAAAATGTAAGATATGCCTTGCCTTTGCAAAAGGATTCTAGTTTCCTGGTTCATTTATTTCTTTCAGTTTTTTTTACATGTAGCTTTGTATTATGCAAAAGTGGGAAAGAATATTTTTCACAAACATAAAAGGAAATAGTTGCTCTCTTACAAATCAAGTACTGAGCTACTTGAGCTCTTTTATCTTTCTAAATTACATTCATTTCCCAAACTGGTTTCCTATATTGTCTTTTCTCATGGTGATAGAATGTAGATTTTTGCTGATGGGTTTTATTTCTCCCTCCCCTTTTCCTACCTTGGAAATCAAAACTGCTCTGTTTCAAGAAGTGTAATAGTGTTACGCTTCATTGACCTTTGCTATTAGAGATGGTATGTTTATTTTTGTAGGCCTGTGAGTAGTTGTTCCCCTCTTTTCTTTCCCCACAGTGTTTTCTGGGTTTAGCCCTGTTTCACTGGAGGTGTAGAACTTAATTGGAAGAAGTGTGTGTTTAGTTTTGTGAGAATGTGTTTGTTCTCTCCAGCCTTCCCTTGAGTACTGCTGTATTTTGATTTAGGCCGAAGTGGCGAACATCTTCTGTCTCCCCTTTCTCAGTAAAACTATAGAGTTGATTGTTAGTATTTATTATTATTAAAAGAGAGAGCGAACATGCATGCTGTCTTCAAGTCAGAAGACGGACTCTACTGAATCTTATTTAGTACACTGAGTTCTTTTAACGTACATAGTAGTTGTACTTATAAGTTGTACTTATTCTTCTGCTAAATATAGCAAGGACAACGAGCTGTGAGGTTACTTTTGATACATGTTTTAAATGTTTGCTTATGTTGCAGAGGAAGACAATTGTGACTTGAATGTGAAAATTTATTTATCCATCTTATATAAAATACTTCATTTTTATTTTCTGAAAGCATGCTTCTCTTTTGCAGATGGGCACTAATACAGATCTCTATTATAAAACATTCAGTGATCCTCTTTATCTTGCTCAGTTCAAAATGCTGAGAGACACATTATATTACATGAAAGGTATAGTATATGTGTATTTTGTGTAATTTAGGATGTGTTTTGAAATGTTTACATTTCCTAGCATCATCCTAGGTGCAAGGAAAGGAAAAAACTTTGTATACAACAGATGGCATTTTGATTGTCTGATTATTAGCGTACTTTGCTATGAAGGCTGTCTTTTATGTAGAGCATAAACTTCATGAAATAATTTCAATTATAATATGGCAATGAATTTTATTTGTGTGGTCTTTCCGATCCGGTGGATCCCTTTCTTCTACGCTAAATGTTTTCTTCTTTTACTTCTTTAGACCTTCCCAACTTGTTTGTAAAGGAAATCCATGATTTTGTGCTAGAACAATTCAACAGCAGCCAATCAGAACTTCAGAAAATCCTTCATGATGTTGATCGACTGCACAATGAACTGAGTCCCCTAAAACTGCGCTGTCAAGCTAATGCTGCCTGTGTGGATCTCATGGTGTGGGCTGTGAAAGATGAGCAAGGTGAAAAATGCTCTCCCATTTCTGGAATGTCTGTCTTTATTTTTAGCTTCTAGAAAAATTTATTAACTCTGATGTCAGAGAAACGTGAAATAAATTTGAGCGGAATACTCTTTGTTATTAGAATTCGAGTCAAGCTTCGATCAATACGTTGTTTAATTAGATGACTAGGTGCTTAGACATCTCTGTACATAAATAAAATCAGAAGCTTCTGATTAGCTCATTTAGCTAAAACGAGCAATCTAAATTTCAGCAACTGTATAATTGTTGCTGGAATTTTGAATTGTTGCTTTTAGTGTTTTAGAAGTTTCTCAGTCTGACTGAAAATGTTTTTCTTCATTGCTGTTGCATATTGGAAGCTCCTTCTAGCTTTTTCAATTTTCTTTCTTGTTATATAATCTTATGTATTCTCTGAATGCATGTAATTTTTTTCTTTTAATCCTTGTGATGCTTACTTTTTGTCATATGAAGAATGCTCAGAATCAACTTTAAGTACTGTCTTTCTTTCAGCCATAGTGTTTGGAGGGGGCTAGTTAGTGCAGATACCAAGATTCCTAAACATCTTTGAGGAATTGTAGTATGAGGAGAGCGAAGCTGTTTAGTTGTCTGTGTGATTTAGACGATCCAATAAGCATTGGGTTATGTGTGGCCTAGTAACAGGACTAACCAACTTATTGATGTTTGTTGGATTTTTGGTATTAAGGTGCAGAAAACCTGTGCATCAAGTTATCAGAGAAGCTGCAGTCAAAAACTTCCAGCAAAGTCATCATTGCTCATTTACCATTGCTAATTTGCTGTTTGCAGGTCTGTCCTTACTGTATTTTACTCTACTATATGATTGTGTGGGAGTGGGGTGGGGGGGTGGGAATTATGAGTTACTAGAAAGCGTTTCACATCTGCTGTTTGTTATTTTTCATTATGTCTTTCATTTGGACTTCAGAGTTATGGTGTAGAAACTAGATTTGCGGCAGAGAAATGCATTCAAAATCTTCTTAGCTCTACTTAATCTTGAAGAATAACACTGAGTGTTTTTAACTGGTATCTTGTTTCTGATATAGTTAGTGTTGTAGTTGTTACATAATCTGGGATGGGTGAATTATTGACCTTTGAGATTTGGTTATTCTGATTATCATGTCATCTTGTTGGACACACTTTTGCAAATGTGTTGTTTTCCAGAATTAAGGAAATTGTTAGGGTTCTTCACACGTTGGAACTTGTCCAGTAACTTTATCTTTAGGATATGCAACTCATTTCATATGCCTCCTGTGAACTTAACTATGAAGAAGGCAGCAAGAGTTGACTGACATACCACACTTTAATTTAAAAGAATTAGAGGCTTTCGGTCTAGTATTAGAGTTGGAGGTTGGTGGCCCTATGTGTGACGGGAGGGTTGGAGCTTGATGATCCTTGAGGTCCCTCTCAACCCAAGCCATTCTATGAAACATCTAGGTCGTCTTCTAAAAATTGAATACTTTAAAACTAGCTTTTTTTGTGTTGTGCTGATGTTGCAAGCTTACAGTTGAAATAAAAACCTATATTGAAATAATTTCATTTTTTTTCCTTTTTTGTTTTTAGGGTCTAGGTCGTTTATGTGAGAGATTCCCTGTTGTGGTTCATTCTGTCAATCCATCTTTGAGAGACTTCCTTGTGATTCCTTCCCCAGTGCTTGTGAAACTTTACAAGTATCATAGCCAGTATCACACAGGTGATTGATTGGGGTGGGAAGGGAAAGGCTGTGTTAGAAAGGATATGCTAGTTATTATTTTGCTACTTTATGGCTTATTGAAGCTTTTAGATGTTCTGTGGTGATGCAATTTTTTTTTTTTTTTTTGAGATAGAGAGGAGCAATGCAGATTGGGATAGAAGTGTATCTATCAATTGAGATAACAGTATTTGTACAACTAATTTTTATTTTTTGAGCAGCATCACTGTATCTGCTTTGTTAAAACAGGGCAAAAGTTCTTGAGATAAGACTATGTGAGATCACTAGCCATTGTAGTGTGAATATGCATTAGTTTGCCCTGTATTATGTGTGCTTATGACAAACTTACCGGTGATGTCAGTTTATATGTAGCTTAACTAAAGAATTGTGTTCCTGATCAAGAAAAACAAGTGTGTTGAAATACTTCTTATTGTGCTGTTGTGTAGGCTGTGGTGATAACACAGCGTGTGGTGATAAGCAGGGAATGGTTACTTTCAGTTTGCAGGTTGTGTTACATTTGTATTAGCGTGTGTAGCAGAAGTATTAAGTCACAGCCTGAAGTAGTGATGGAGCACCTGGTAGAAAGGCAGGGCCAATCCAGAGGAGCTCAGGTGCATGCAGTGCATGTGAGTGGTTTGCAGGGCTGGAGCCAGTATCCATCCCTTCCCAGACCTCATTTAAGTCATGGCAGTGGAGATGAGGGTATCTTGCTGGAGATCCCTGCCTACCTGAGGCCTTCAAAGGGTAAGCAGCTTTATATCTTTGTTTCTGTGTCCATGGCTGCTGCACTTGGGCTTATCCCCACTTACTGCAGCCTAGGACTTTGCCACCCTTCTATTATTGCTGTACTTTCCTTTGCACTATAGTGTTACAGCATGTAACCAAGATAAGATGGATGAAAGAATATGAACTTCATAAGGCAAATCATAACTGAATGTGCAGGCATGTTGGCTGTATTTCGATACTTTTTGGTCGTACGTTTGTATGCGGTAGAATGTGCTTACTTGAACACACAAGTGAGCAAGTGTTGTGAATTGACTTATTAATCCATAAAAATGCTAGTCTTTTCAGGTTTGTTTTCAGAGTTAATCTTGGAAAAAGTGGCTAGCAATATGGCATTCTGTTTTTGTTCTGTGTTTCTGATTTCAGATTGCCATGGAAAATATTGTTTTCCTGGTTTGACAGCCATGTGGAATCTTCCTACTTTAGGCTTGAAAGACATGAAAGTGGCATTAAAATTATCAAGAAAACTTTTGCTTAATGACCAACAGGTTTTTCTGTGCAGTGTTGGTGATAGGCAGTGAGTAGGGAGGATTTGTGGATTCATTGTGTTAGGAGGATACTTGATGGCATGCTTGTTGTCGTTTTTTAATTGTATTATGAAATTATGATTTCCCTAAAGAAAGTGTACAATGTAAATTACTGGCTAATGCAAAAGTACTATTGTAATGCAAAGGCAGGACAGATAAAATGAGAACTGAAGGCGACTAAATTTAGGAATAATTAAATGCTGTGATAGCTTGCCAAAGTAGCAAATGAAGTTTCAAATCTCTTCAGCTGAACTCTGACCTGTCAAGTGGCCTGTCTTACCTTGCCAGATGTAGCTCTGCCTGTATATTCACGTTTCGGGTGATGGGGCAAGGACATCTTGGATGGTGCTGATTTCTCTACTGTCTTCGACTAGGTGCTAATGACATCAAGATTAGTGTAACCAATGAGCATTCGGAGTCCACTCTAAATGTAATGCCTGGCAAGAAAAGTCAGCCATCCATGTATGAACAACTTCGTGACATTGCCATAGATAATATCTGCAGGTAAGAAGTGTGTGATAACAGAGAAGGTGTATGATATTTGGAATTTATTTTCTCTTTCCCTAGCAGGAAAAGTACTGGGACAATTTAGAAGGTACTGCACACTTCTTTGTTATGACCTTTTTTTTCTTTAGACAATCCCTTGGTTCTGTATGCGTCCTGAATTCAGAATGGTCACTTAGTTTCATTGTTTTGCTTCCCACATACCTAACTCATGCTATTCACATTTTGATGCTCAGCCAGGTTTTTGTTTCCTCTAACGACTGTTATTTTCTTCTAGACAGCTTCACAGAACTGTAGGGAAGACAAAAAGTTGGCTATCAGAGATGAGGAGTTAAGGGTGCTAAGCAAATCTAAGCTGTTCTAAATGTATCTTTTACACGTTCCCATCTTTGTTGCTGCATAAAGCAGTAGCAGAAGCTCCGCCCATTTTTTTGAATATATCTGTAGTATCTCTATACAGTTTGTTCTTGGACTTCAGTATAGACTTCTCTTCCTTATTCCTGGTGCACATGTACAATTGTACAAACTGAAATATTTGGTTTTTTTGTTGTTTTTCCTCTACCTATTCTAGCATGCTTTCTATTCATTTTCATTCCAGGTGCTTGAAAGCTGGCTTGACTATAGATTCAGTGATTGTTGAAGCCTTTCTTGCCAGTTTGTCTAACCGTCTGTACATCTCGCAAGAGAGTGATAAGTAAGCTGTTATTTATAAAACCAGTTTTTTCCTTCACTTAACCAGCCTGAAACTTATTCTAAGACATAAGTGCTGGCAGCATTATTTTAGAATTAAATGTCTGAGATGAGTGAGGGTAAGTCCTACAGTAGCTTGTCCTATTGCTTTGCTTGTCACATTTTCTTCCGTTCTCTGTTGTTCCTAGAGCAGTTTAAAAACAGTTTCTTGTGTAGTGCATTTGTACGTTCTGGTTTCTGGTGTGTTGTTTTTTTTTTTAAACTTGCACGTGTATGTCTCTAATGCTAAATGTTGAGGGTAGGCAGGTGTGTAGAGGGCAACAGTAAAATTTAATGACGCTTAAATTTAGTATACCAGTTGTTTCTTACATGGAATGTAAGCCTGCTTTGAGGTCTTATTGACTGCTGGACAACTACATGTGTGACTGGGTGGGTTTTTTTTTTTTTTTGTTTATCTTATAACAGGGAAGCTCATTTGATTCCTGACCACACAATTCGTGCTCTTGGGCACATTGCAGTGGCACTGAGGGACACACCGAAAATGATGGAACCCATCCTACAGATCTTACAGCAGAAGTTCTGCCAGCCACCTTCTAATCTTGATGTACTCATCATTGACCAGCTAGGCTGCTTGGTCATCACTGGAAATGTAAGGAAAGAACTGGCCAAAAGAGTTCCGATTTATACTCCTTTTGATTTAGTTTCCTTTAGAAACTGTGTCTTCAAGAATTATTTTGAAAGGTTTTCTTAGTTATGCATGCTTGTGCAGTACTAGTCTCAGTGACATCAGAAAACAGAAGGTAAATAGTAATGTGTAGACTGCTGTGCCTGTAAACAAGATTCATCCCTACAGGAAATTATGGAAGCTTAGAAAATAAATTCCATATTTTTAGAAGTTGTTTCTAAATGTGGTCTGCATTCCCAACAGGTGCACATCATCATTTTTCATATCAGCGATTAGCTTTTGAAGTCTTGTAAATATATACATTTAAAGCAATTAAGTGAGCATCCAAGCAGTGAGAAACATTAATGAAAACACTTGAACTGTCTGCTCTTTAGAAGCTGAAGCTATTGTTCAGGTTAGAAGTAGGTGCTTGAAGAACTTTTGTAATACTTAAAATGTACTTTACAGGGTCATTCATCATAGCAGAGAGATAATATTGAATAAGTACTCTGAGTAGTATTTTTTTTGTTTTATAGCAATACATATATCAAGAGGTGTGGAATCTGTTTCAGCAAATCAGTGTTAAAGCAAGTTCAGTTGTTTACTCTGCCACAAAAGATTATAAGGATCATGGATACAGGTAAGAATTAAATGCGTGCTGGTAATGTGTAGAATATTATTTTCCCTTTCCAGAAACACAGCACTGTGCTGTTTTTTGTCTATAGTCATATCTGTAACAAGAAAGTAATTTCTTCTTGGTAGTGACAAAATCATAAACAACAACAGATCATTCACAGACAAAGCTGACAAATAATTTTTCGTTTAAATAGTGACTGTAGTAGCTTAATTAAAAGAATTACTGGTCAGAATTACAAAGAAAGGACTGAAATCGGAGAAATCTGTATTGAGGGGTTGCTTGTTCATAATTTCTTTTTTCTTTTTTCTCAGACACTGTTCCTTAGCAGTCATTAATGCCCTAGCTAACATTGCTGCTAACATTCAAGGAGAGCACCTTGTGGATGAACTGCTGATGAACTTGCTGGAACTGTTTGTTCAGCTTGGGCTAGAAGGAAAGAGGGCTAGTGAGAGAGCAAGTGAAAAAGGTCCAGCACTGAAAGTAAGATAATTTTTTTTTTTTTTTTTTTTTTTTTTGCAGTTGTAGGCAGTAAAACCGCATTTTTACATGTGGGTTTCATGAAATTCCATATCCTAAAACCTAAGAGTGTATTTCTATCCTGGAATTAGGGCGCAGACTGGTATGTCTTCCAAATGCCTGGCTAACCTGAATGTTGTATCTGAGGTAAGGCAGTGGTAATTCCTGTTGTACAGCTTCTCTTGAGTTTGTGTTAGCCTTGGTATCACTGTCTGAAGTGTTGAGTTGTCAGAGGTGGAACTTCAAAGAGAAACTGGGAACACTGATCTCAGAATATTTCTTACTTGGAGTGTCTCAAAATTTAGCAGAACTCTGCTCCTAATTTTAGCAGTGCCATAGGATCATAGAAAATCTCAGGTTGGAAGGACCTCAAGAAATCACGTAGTCTAACACTTCTGCTCAAAGTAGTCATCTGTGTTATTCCGTTAGTCCTTTACTATTGTTATGACAGGTGCATCTTAAGCCTTCGAAGATCCTCCACATCAATGCAGGCCTCTAAGTCTAAGCATATCATGGTAACAGAGTGAGCCCTTTCTGGAGGGAAACTGGAGACCTGGTCACAAGAGATATGGAGAAAGGCCTGTCAAGGCCTTTGGCATGGTCCCTCACTAAATCCTTATCTCCAAATTGGAAAGATGTGGATTTGATGGGTGGACCACCTGGTGGATAACAAGTTATTTGAAAGGCTGCAGACAAAGGGCAGTGATCAGTGGTTCTGTGTCCAGATGAAGGCTGGTAATGAGTATTGTCTCCCAGGAGTCTGTCTTGGGACCAGTGCTCTTCAAAATCTTTATTAGTGATATCAGTGACGGAATTGAGTGAGGCACCCTCAGCAAGTTTGCTGATGACACCAAGCTGAGTGGTGCGGTTGACACAGTGGAAGGAAGGGGTGGGGTACCATTCAGAGGGACCTCAACAGGTTGAAAAGGTGGGCCTGGGTGAACTTAATGAGGTTCAACACAGCAAAGTGCAAGGTTTTGTACTAGGACTGGAGGAATCCCAGGCATCCTTACAGAATAGGAGCAGCCTTTGAGAGCAGCCCTGCAGAGAAGGACCTGGGGGTGCTGGGGGATGAAGAACTTAACATGAGCCAGCAGTGTGCTTTTGCACCTTGGAAAGCAAATGGTATCCTGGGCTCCAACAGAAGAGGGGTGGCCAGCAGCGACAGGGAGGTGATTGTCCCCCTCTGCTCGGCTCTTGTGAGGCCCTATCTGGAGTACTGTGTCCAGGTCTGGAATCCCCAGGACAAGAAAGACAGGGAGCTGTTGGAGAGGGTCCAGAGGAGAGCCACGGAGATGATGAGAGGCTGGAGCACCTCCCCTACGAAGACAGGCTGAGGGAGCTGGGCTTGTTCAGGCTGGAGAAGAGAAGGCTGCGGGGTGACTTCATTGCAGCCTTTCAGAACCTAAAGGGAGCCTACAAACGGGAGGGCGAATTAACTCTTTGAAAGGGTAGATAACTGCAGGACAAATTGAAGGAGGTAGGATTTAGGTCGGATGTCAGGGGGAAGCTCTTTACTATGAGAGTGGTGAGGTGATGGATCAGGCTACTTAGAGAGGCTGTTGACATCCTGCCCATCCCTGGGGGTGTTCAAGGCCAGGTTGGATGGGACCTTGGGCAGCCTGGTCTAGTATTAAATGGGGAGGTTGGTGGCCCTGCATGTGGCAGGAGGTGGTTGGAGCTTCATGATCCTTGAGGTCCCTTCCAACCCAGGTGTCAACGGTTTATGGGCTGGTCCGGCCCAGTTCCGTGACCAGCAGGGCGGAGGGATCTGCGGATCCGTGCCTCTGGGAAAGGGGAAGCAGGGGACCCCAAAATACTTGAAAACAACAGCACTAATCTGAGGTGGAACAAATGATTTTACTAAATATAGTATTAGTAAAATACAATGAGAGAGAGAGAGAGAGAGAGAGTCTGTTTGAATCGTATAGACCTCACCACAATGCTGGAGTGAGAAGTGCAGTCTGGTTGAGTGACTGAAGTGCAGACAGCAAAGAGCAGGTGAAGAAGAGAGATCAGGTGACCTTGCATGGAGTTATATCTCCTTGCTGACCGCAAAGCCTCCTGGGGAAATGTAGTTCTTCTCCGACGGATGAACATTTGGCAGATATCAAACCCCACCCCAGTGCATTACATGATGTTATGGTGTGGAATACTGATGACCAAAAATCATAAAACCATGATACCAGGCCGTTGTCTAATTCTATGAAAGTTGAGGTGCTCAATGACCTCTTCGCCTCAGTCTTTACTGACAGAGGCTCTAGTTGTACCACCCAAGCTGCAGAAAGCACAGGTAAGAGCTGGGAGAAGGAAGTTCTGCCTGCTGTAAGTGAAGATCAGGTTCAAGACCATCTAAAGAATCGGAAGGTGTACAAGTCCATGGGACACAATTAGATACATCCATGGGCTCTGAGGGAAGTGGTAGATGAAGTTGCCAAGCCCCTCTCTGTCATACTTGAAAGATCATAGCAGTCTGGAGTTCCTACTGATTGGAAAAGGGTAAACATAAACACCCATTTTCAAAAGGGAAAAAAGGAACACCTACGGAGCTGGAGGCCAGTCAGTTTCACTTCTGTGTCTGGCAAGATCATGAAGTGGATTGTCCTGAAGGCCCTAATAAGGCACGTGGAAAATAAAGAGTAGGTGATTGGTGGTTCACCAATATGGCTTTACCAAGGTCAAGTCATGCCTGACAAACATGGTGGCCTTTTATAACGGAGTTGCAGTGTCAGTGCATAAAGGAAGAGCAACTGACATTGTCTATCTGGTTTTGTGCAAGGCTTTTGATGTTTTGATGCTGTCCCACATGACATCCTGATTGCCAAATTGGAGAAAAATGGATTTGATGAATGGATTAAGGAATTGGCTTCATGGTCACACTCAGATTGTTAAGATCAATGGCTCACTGTCCAGGTGGAGAGTGTAGAGTGGTATTCCTCAGGAACTGATGCTGAGACTGGTGCATCTTTCTGGATGACATGTACTGTGGGATTGAGTGCATCCTCAGGAAGTTTGCAAATGACACCAAGCTGAGCGGTGCAGCCTACTTGCTAGAGGGAAGGAATGCCATCCAGAGGAAACTGGACAGGCTTCAGAGGTGGGCCTGTGCCAGCATCATGAAGTTCAAGAAGGCCAAGTACAAGGTCCTGCATGTGGGTTGGGGCAATCCCAAGCAGATGCAGGTTGGGTGGAGAATGACTTGAGAATAGTCCTGAGGAAGTAGATTTGGGTGTTTCAGTTGATGAAAGACTCAACATGAGCTGGAAATGTGTGCTTGCAGCCCAGAAGGCCAACTCTATTCTGGGTTGCATTAAGAAATGTGGCCAGCATGTCAAGGGAGGTGATTCTGCTCCTCTTCTCTGCTGCTGTCAGACCCCACCCTCTTCAGTTCTGGAGCCCCCAGCACAAGAAGGACATTGAGCTGTTGAAGCAGGTCCAGAGGAGGGTCACGAAGATGATCAGAGTGCTGAAACACTTCACCTATGAGGATGTGCTGATAGAGCTGGGGTTCTTCAGCCTGGAAAAAAAAAAGGCTCTGAGGAGACCTTATAGTAGCCTTCTAGTTCCTGAAGGGGTACTGCAGGATCATGAAGGAGAGCTGGTTAGGGGCTTCTTATAAGGGTGTGCATCAACAAGATGAGGAGAAATGGCTTTAAGCTGGAAGAGGGGAGACTTAGGCTAGATATTAGGATGAAATTCTTTCTGTGAGGGTGGTGAGACACTGCAACAGGAGAGGTTGAGGATGCCTCCTTCCTGAAGGTGTTCAAGACCAGGCTGGATGAGGCACTGAACAACCCCCATGTATTAGGAGGTTGGAACTAGATGATCTTAAATGTCCCTTCAAACACAAACCGTTCTATGATTCATTCTGCGATTTAACGTGGACATTTTTCTTGTGGTTTTTGGGATAGCAGAAAAAAGATGATATGATTAATATTTTCCACCTTAGCTCAAGGTGTAGTATCTAATTTTGAAGTTTAGATTCTGGAAGTTGTAATTTAGTTTAGCTCTGAAAGGGGAAACATTTCCTTCAGGAGCTGCTGAAGGAGGAGGCTGCCCGAAGAATCTTACTGAAAAGGCTTCTGGCTCTCTGCCCTGTGTTGTGGATTTTGAAGGTGCTCTCTTGGCCACCTTATACACATCCAGCTGAAAGGTTCAGGGTTGTAACTGGCAGTGTATGTTTTAGTGTATGTTTTCATTTGCATAGGTGGTAGGAGTGCTTGATGCTTGAAATGTCATCTAGCAAGTATTAGAAATATTTTTGCAGAGGCTTTTGATGATAATTTCCTTCTTCTTTCCCAGGCTTCCAGTAGCGCAGGGAATCTTGGTGTGCTCATTCCTGTTATTGCTGTGGTAAGTACCCAGTTGGGTAGTTGAATAATTTTTCTCATTCATATCAAGTATCAGTACCTATTGCAAAGTCAAATGGTTTGATAAACAGCTAGTGAACTAGTGTACAAGCAAGCATCCAGTATGCAGTAGTATAGCTAATAATTTAACTGTGAATTGCAAAATATCACTAAAAATGAATTCAGAGGGATTTGTGAACTAAATAATACCATGTTATACTCTGTGTAACATTTGGTGTGCAGTGTAATAAACAGCACTTAACTAATGAAAGAGTGTCTAGAGAAGAAATGAAGACCAAAAGATATAAATAAATCTTAGTTTGGCCAAACCAAATCCTAGATTTGCAGAAATGTGTTTATAAATGCCTTGTATTACTATTCAGTAGCTGCTTAATTTTTGAATGAAGTAGCCAATCTTGTGTTGAGATGCATAATCTAATGGGTAGTATTTTTGACTTATCAGTTAAGCGGATGTTAGTGTCATCACTGACTAGAGTGCAAGATCATGCCTTACATAATGGAGACCAAAAAAAAGAAACATCAGTGTTTGTTAAAGACTTCGTGTAAAAGTTATGGGAATAGTATTGTTTCAAATTTTTATTGATGATGTATTTTTTTTCTGAATATCCAGTGAAAACTGCATTTTTCTTAACTAATGTGACCTTTAAATAGAGTGAGTGCCAGAATCTGTATTAAGAGTTAATGGTTACTTATGGTTGTTGAAGCAAATATTTGACTTTCTTGCACAATGTATGAAGAGCGTGAGTTTTGAACAGTAGCTCATTTGCCTTTGTGCTTGTCCTCTTTCCCTTGAATAATTCTGGTTACTTAGATTGCAAAGACAAAAGGGAAAAATCGGATCCTCCAGCCCATTTAATCTGATACACAGGTTATATTTGGGGTGTGAATATTTAGTATTTGTATGTAGATTAAAAAAGATGAAATGTTTACATGAATTACAACAATTTGTGTAGTGGAACTTCAGTACTAAAAATTATGTTCCCAGTATTGGCTTTTCATTAAGTGCAGTATAAGCTAGAAATAGAAAGAGCTGGGTTTTCATTTGATGTTAATTTCTTTGGCTATTCTGCTAAAAATGACTTTATGTATGCAGCTAATAATTGCTGACATTTGTAATTAATTGTAAATTAATTACAATTGAATTAATTGTAATTCATCTACCACAGTATGCAATCAGTAAGTTAGTACTGAAAAACACCTTCTGAAGAGCTGCCTTACTACTTAAACTGTTTAAAGGGTTTATTTATGGCTTTTTTTTTTTTTTGTAGCTTTTTGTGTTTTTGTAACATGAGGGAAACTTAAAATACAAACATACTTAGATTTACACAATATTTGATATTAGATGTAACAAAAAAAAATCACTGGTTTGAGAGACATATGTTTTTAGATGTTAAGATGTGAAGGAAAGTGTATGACATGGACGTGTTCAGGGACTTCAGTAGTTTGTATGTGAGGTGTAAGTCAGTTCTTGATACCAGGTTGGTAGCAATATTCTACAGAGTGCAGGCAAATCTTCAGTTTTTCAGATGTGAAGCGAGCTTGTTTACAGTCTTAGTGCATGACTGGAAAGGTTTTGTCTGTTGAATTAAGCATGGAAAGTGCATTTGAATTTTTAACAAACATTGTTTTTGATATAAATCACTTTTTGTAGAGACAGTTAGGTGATACTGAGCTGAAAAAAAGAGCATTTTGCTAGCTGCTCACAATGCATAAGGTATTCTAAGGAATTATCTGCTTGCCCTAATTCTGAAATTGTTTATATGGGTGGAGATTAGAGAACTGTGTTGAAACCAACAAAGTCAGACTGGGGGAAGGTAGTGGATCCGTTAGGATTTCGTTCCACCAGGACACTTTTGTTCTGCTGATCAGTAAAGCTCATGATTGATGGCATGGTCTGCTGAATGTTAAACAGTGCAAGCAAAAGCAAGAATGCTGGCCACCTACTGTTATTAGAGTATGTAAAAGTATCCAGGAGAGATGTAGATTTCTAATGCCAGTCAGGTACTTAGGATTTTCTTTTTCCTATTTATTATGAATAGGTTCACCAGCAATAAAACTTTAAGATCTGAACTTCAAGAATCCAGATAGTCTTCATATTTTATTGATTACATTTTATAAAGTGAAGTAAATAAAACACAAAGTTACTTTGAGATATTTCTTAATATACTTGTATTGATACTTCACACTGCAGACAAATCATCTACTATTGAGTCCATTCACGTAGAACTATTAATAGATGCTATCTATATTATATATATATATATTTTTTTTTATACCGGGGCTTTTGTATTAACTAATATGATAAGAAAATTGCCTTTTGTGATACTTCTATGATATATTAATGTGTAATTATACAGCCTGTGTATGATAGCGTTTTGGTGTTGCTCTGTGCTCTATGGCTTGGCAGGGTTGACAACTCTACCCAAGAACAGAAGGCAACTGGTACGGTGTTCATAGATCAAAAACAAAAAGGGGCGGTCGACAATAAAGCGAATCTGAGTAGAAAGAGGCATGAATCCGACGTTGGTTATTGCTCCAGCTTCTGTGCCTTCCTCATTCACAGTAATTGTGCCTTGATGATTGAACTGTGAAAAATAAAATAAAAAAGGAGGGTCTTAGTATACACAAATGATGCGCTCAAGGCCATTTCCCCCAGCAAAGCTGTGACTTGCACGTGGCTGCCTTGTGATGCTCCTGCTGGTAGATCCTGTGGGGCAGCAATCATTTGGGCTTGGTTTCTGAGTAGCTCTGTTACTGACTGACTGATCAACCACAATACTTCTAGTAGATTTGACATCTAATAGAACATATTTCTTTTAAAAGGAAAAAAAAAAAAAAAGAGGATGTGTAGAGAAACCCACAACCCCCCCCTCTATCTTCCAAGAAAGACTATGTAAAACAATATTTTGGATGCTTAAACTGTGAGTTATTACTATAGTGCTTTGTTTTCAGATTATATTGCTTAATCAGAAAGGAGATGAAGAGAAGGAGAGTTATAAATACTCTGTCAATGGAGACTTTCTCTTTTGATACACCACAGTAGTTGCCTTTTTCACTGAACAGTTCTTCTATTCCCATGGATCTTAGAAAACCAATCAAGTTGTAGTTCTTCTCCAGCTTAAATTTAGGCAGAATTACTTCTCTGGTTCTAGTAGAAAGAGAATGCAAAAAAATTGTTGAAGATGTGAATTTGCATAATTTCTTTGCTATGCATTTGTTTTAAATTTAAGGTGCAAATAACACAAGAACTTGTTCCGTACTTTTGCTTTTACAAATCAGGCATTATTAATTTTTAAGCTATGTTCTTTATAATTAATTAACATACTGTTAGTTTGACATAATACAATGCTTTGCTTTGGTTGTGTGTAGTATGTAGGGTCTGGGCATTTTGATGAGTGATTGGGTATGCTTGTAAGGAACTGCGAAATTTTCTGGGGTTCTAAGCTGGCGATTTGTAGCTTCTGTATAGATTGTATTAAGCTTAAAGCATTCAGCTTAAGTCAAAATGTTATGTTCTAGGCTGCCTATTTTACCTTGCCAGTATGACCAGGAAAGTATTTAAGACTTCAACAAAACGTATTTTTCAGCAGATACCTGTTTGTCATGCTCTTCTGCCATTTTTCCACCACCTGAGGGGTTATTTGCTTTTCTAGTGCTTTCATGCCAGAGAGCTTGTGTGGAAGTACAATCAGCATACTGATGTTCCCCACAAATGGGAGCTGGATCACTCCACAGTCCAGATCAGGGTCTGCAGCAGCTAGGAAGTTCCCTTTAGTCTGCATCATAGGAACTTTTATTGTTTGCTTTTCATTCAGTCGAAAACTTCTCTTGGTTGTCATTTCCACTGGAAACTTATTCTCCCACGTTCCTGGTAATGCAGAAGACAAATAACAAAATAAGCAAATATACTTATTTAGAAAAATATTTCCAGAGTAACAGTATACATTATACTTTCATTCATGTGAATTAGAACTTGCTGTAGATGAATGTTAATTTTAATTAAGCCAGAATCAGGACACAAGTTTTAAAGCAACTTTAATATTTGTCTTTTTTTCCAGCTTAAATATTTGTCTGATCTTAATTTTCTGAATTACAGAAGTAAAACACAAATTGGGTATGTGAAATGGCTTCATGTGCTCTTTTTTTTTTTTTTCCATAAGGAATCTAGAAATTAAAAAATATAAATATATGTAAACCACTTGACAGGGCTTTCACCTAACAGTACGGTTGTATTTTTTTTTGAGATCTGATATTTGAATCGAGTATGAAGTAGACTGCATCAGGCATGTTATTGATGCATCAAGCTATGTAAAGCTGTTCTCATTTTGCATAATAGTTCAAGGATATTATGCTGAAGGCATTATCTTGATTTAATCATCTAAGTCAATGAGTGTACCATCTTAAGACATTCTGAACAGTTTGGGTGTTTACTAGTTAATTGTATGATCCATTTTGATTCGATTTCAACAAGCTTGTTGGTCGTCTAATTTATTCCCAAAGAATGCAATTCAGCACATTTTGCAGTTGGGAAAACATGATTCAAACCCTGATGGTGAAGCTGTGTAAAGATTTATTTGGTATCCAAAATATTTATTGATTGTGCTTAAAAAGAAAAGAAAAACAAAGGAACAAAACCAACCAGACACACAAACAAAAAAAAGCCAGCAGTTTTTTAAGCGGTACTACTTTATTCTCTTTAGAGCTGTAGCTCTGTGGAAAACATTCTTAATAGGCAGACAAAGCTAGAATTTTGTAGTGGAGATTGGGCTACTGGTACTTCCTGTTGAAGTTTTAGATTTTAGGTTGTCATTCGCAAGCAAGTATATGGGGAGCATGACTGCAAATGTGTGGATAGACTACAAACTTTATGTCTACTTTGAAACGTTAGATTAAAGTTAATGATTCTGAGCCCCTTAATTTGACTTTTAAATTGACTGTGTGGTAACAAAAAGCCTTGACTTCCATTCTGATGTTTTCTTGATG